TTTAATATCGATGCTGAAGTTTCATATAGAATCTATCGTTCTTTGTATTCCGTGTTTGTTCACTTAATTCTAGAATGAGTGTAAACCAATCAATGTCCGCGTTAAATGTCTATATGCAGATCATTCTCGACGTCTTTATATTTAATATTCCTCCGATATTTTTACATACTTCATTGTTCGAGAACAACATTTCCTCGGTTGCCTTCCAACATTCTTTCGGATTGTTTCGCCGCCAACTACGCTTTATTCATCCTCTAATATGCCGTTGCGATATGAATATTAAAATATTACTACTATAAAGCAGCCTTGGTTTCTAATCGATGCAAAAACATGTCCCCTCTCTATGGTGTTCCTTGGCACCGTAGCCAATCGAGTCTTCATGTTTTGAAAATTATGTCTGGCACTAGCGTGCTCAGAAGCTACATTATAAAAGCGAACAAAGATAAAATGATCGATCTTAATTAAAAATAGAATGAATAAAATAAGTATAAATACTTGTAACAGTAATTTTGGATTAGAATTATTTTTAATGTTTATTCCGAAGAGCGGTTTTAACTATTTACTTAATGTTTTTTGTAAGTAGTTTTTGTAGTTACTAAAGTGTGTCAACACCTTGTTTGCGTATAGGCTTATTTTCGCTTACGTTTCGCGTCGTCCTTGGTTCTTTGAAGAGATACTATGAGAGATAATTCAAATCTTTTTCAAAGTTCATTGAACGATTATTGACATTAGCGATTAATTAATCTCTTCTTCTTCCTCGCACGAATACCAATTTTTCACGCGTGAAAAATCTCGTTCGTATTCTAATGCGCCACGCGACATTGAGTCGCCAAGAATCATGATTATAAATTTTGATCTCGCCGTGAGATCTCTGTATCAGAAAAAGGCACGTGAGTAACGAGCGAACTATTCGATTACGCAACCGAGGTCTGGTAAACGTGTCCAATCCTTTAGTATCAAGGATTCCGACGAAGCGCCAAATAAATCGATTATCCGCGAGCGAGACGACGCGTGGCTTCTCAGCAGCCTTCGGAATCACGTTCGCCCGTTCGCGGCAGCAAGCCGAATCTCGAAATCTTCCGATGGGGCTTTACCACATCCGAGACTATAAACTTGTGTGGCAATAACGTACGAACAGCGATTTTTCTACATTTTTAGTGCCTTGTGTCATTTACGGCACCGATAGCATTGGCTATAATTAGCGAATATACGCGAAATATCATCAACCGGGACGCACGTGATTCTAATAAATTACAATATGTTATTATAACTATGCTTTTAAAAATAATCAAATAAATCGTAAGTTCTGAAAAGAATGTACAATTAAAATCGGACGATGTTTTCGTATATTATATTGCTGAATGATGAAATCGCGTGAAGTTCGGAAGTAATTAGTATATGATTTTTCTAATGCTGATTATTGATAAACACCATTAAGCGTATACATAAAAAACAGAATTTTATGGAATTTGATGAATCTGCATACATGCTGCTGAATTATAAAAGCTATAAACTTATTTAAGTGTTTATAAATGGCTGAACATTCTAATTTAAGGAATCACGTAAATGTTATTCCGTTATTTTGATGAAGAACAGTCTTCTGTTATTTTGATGAAGAAAAGTCTTCAACAGAATTTTTTAGTTCACCTATAAACGTCGGCTATTCATAATAAATTATTGACATGCGTCTTTCACAACCGCTTGTGATAGCATAAAACAAATTTTGGAAATTTTTAGAATTCGACCAGTCTACTTATATACGAATCATTAAATTAATATGATGCTTAAATCAAATCTTAATTTGTTTAAATTTAAAGATATTAGAAATCTAATCGCGAGTATTCTTGCAAAGCGCCGGATTATTCGAAGACATTATTATTCTTATGACCTCTCTTCTTATGAAAATTTGCTTAACTCACAGTGGAGCAACAATGCTAATTATGTGTCTCGTATACTACTTTATAAAGCCGACAAGCAGGTAACCCTATTTCCATTTCTAATTACTATCGCGCATTCATATTGCGAGCTGTCAATGATGCTGCTCGTTACCGTCATCGTTGTCTCGGTATCCGTCTACCATACGTAATGACTTGCACTCAACGAAAGGCGCATACCTTCGTACGTATGAAAAGATGTTGCGTTTACGCGATCTCGGTGCGGCTACACGATAGTAAGAACAAGCGTTTCGCAAGTCTGGCAGTCATGGCATCAATACGATACATCTGTTTTATGCGGGTGCCAGGTTAAAGTGATAAGAATAACAATGAAATACGTGAACTGTGTAAACAAAATTGGCGATGGTATCATATTTTCAGAATTTTTATTTAATATGCAAATTTTTATTCTCGATAATACTCAAAATGGTTCGTGATTATGACTATAAATTTAATGATATTTTTAATTGCAAATTCAAAACGTTTTTTCAACGTCTTTTTACAGATTATTCAAATATTTTTGAAATAAAAAATTTAAGGAAGCAAATGCGAAGAAATCAAAATTTATTGTTAAGTGTTCAAAGTTTTAATCAATTGTTTTATTAGAAAAAAACCCGCTGTAAATCAAATTCACGTAAAATTATTATTGCTAAAAATTCGTAAAAGCTTAGGAAATTGTAAAAGTTGATATCAATCCTGACATTGTGCTTCTTTATCCATCTTGATACGCGCTACACACTATACATATACTAAAATTACTTAATCAGCTTTGAACCTAAATTATTTAACGCAATCAAAGTCAAACAAAACATGCTTTTAATCTTTATTACGCATGATTAGAGATCATTAATTCTTTGTTCGGTAAGAAATCCTGAAGACAAGCTCTGTCAATACAGCTGTCGTTACCAATCACAAAACACATAAGAATGATTGACCTTTGCGCACTATTTAAACCAGCAAAAAACTAACTAACTCCGCTTGTACAGTATATATGACTTGTCAGCAATATTGATCAGATTTCGATCATAATAGTGCGTAAGTAGTCTCATAGAATAAATAAGAGAATAATATCGTTCGAGAGCAATATTACCAAATAATAACTTAAAGAAAAGTGTGGTATCATTGTGATTACAAAAAACAAACAAGAACTCTTATTTATAGCGTTGAATTGATCTTGTAACAGGCATTCCGCGAATATCTCGAAGATTGTTAAAGCGTATACGTCACAGTCTACTTAGACTAGGCCTCGGCGGAGCAAGCGGTCTTAGCGCTACGACCGTCTTCTTCCTCGCCTTCTCGTTGCCGCTTTTATAATGATATTCCACTTCGTTAATGTCGGGCGCAAAGTCGGTAGCCATGATCCGTTTCCACGCACCGGTGCACCCGGCTCCGCCACTATCGTCGTTGTCGTGGCCGCTAAGAATCCAAGAACGAGCTGCGAGATGATGATCTCCGCAACATGACGCACTATCAGCTGTTTTGTTCGCCTTATTGAAACAATGAAAATTATTAGAGATGTAAGGTATAAAAATATGAGCACTAGAATCTCAGTAATAAATAATGTATACACATAAATTCTGGAATAATCAGCATTTCTTAGATTTTATTTCTGTGTAACGAATCGATTAAGATTGAAGACAGTGCGTCGGTTTAATCGCGAGATTCGAACACTCATACCGTAAATGATCAGACTACACGGCCGCAAATAGCATCACGTTACAAAGTTAAGAATTACGTAGCGTTAAAATTACGTAAATATGTGAGGCCTCGCCTTGTCATTTGAATAATAAACCGAAAAAAAAATTCGAGGTAATGTCCAAGATAACGCAACGGAATTAGCGTACGCATTACGAAACGTTAAGTTGTGTATTTACCACAGAATGAAATTGAAATAAAAATGTGCATAAAATGCGCGGAAATCACTTTGTCGTCGCGATATTGAATATTGATGAATTTTATTGCTCACTTCGCATGATTCGCATTGGAATCTTTCAGGCTTTCAGCTTAATTAGATACTATGTAGGTGATTATTTGTGAAAAACTAATTGAATTAGAAAATCAGGATTATAACTCATTTTTAATACATTATACAAAAAGTAGAAAATTCTTTTTAGGCGGTTAAAAATTATCACAGATAAAAAATTAAAAAAGTGTTTCAATTGAAGTTTGTATTTTCACATGCTTTAGGCCGGTTGTTGAAAAGAGTTGGCATAAGTTACTTACAATTAGTCATATTTTCAAGTACGAAATTATTGGCAATTAATATTACTGTCATAATCTTGACGATGACTCAAACGATCGCGCAAACAGATGACTCAATAGAAAAAGGATCGTTCGATACTCTAGATTCGAATGTTTTCTCACAAAGCAAACGGTCACATTCGTGACCAATCTTTTCTTGATCCGGCAATGACCCTAAGTCAAGATCTGATCCATACATGTCCACCATCAATTAGAACGCTTCGTATTTAATGAAGTATACCCCAGGAATGCCGAACCTTTGCCATTTTGTTTCACAGATCATTACACTGCATCTTTCGTCTTCCCCTCGCACTCGAAAGGTTTGAATGCCTTCCGAACGTTCAAGGTTCCCTTGTGAGGTCATTGCGATTTTTCATTTCCGAAATTCGCGCCCGAGGTCGCGGCGATTCGGATCACAATGATCTGCATCGAGATCGTAATCGTAGAAGGACAGAGAGCGCGCCCGTGCAGAACGTTAACAACGATTCTCACCCTCACCGCCGATCATTCTCTCTTCGTTTGGGTATACCAACTATCCATGGGGGTCTGCAGTCATTATTTTTGCGTGTCATTATGCTAAGACTGTCCGCCGAAATAAATCGATACAAGTTCGCGGTGAATTTATCGCAGGACGGAAAAGGCATGATGAAGGAGTAAAAGGGATATACTTTTATGATATAATTTATTTATAAAGATTCTTTGCTTGCGATAAGATATCGTTGGATTCCGACGAAATTTTTGTCTAGATGATTCGAGTTTTGCCACGTGTGAGCGATCTATGCTCGAGCGAATAAATGAGCTTATGTTGTATTTTCTGCGTTACAGGTGAGAGTGCCATTAAAGGTGAATTTTTCGATCAGACCGAGGGATGTGATGGTGAAGATCACGAAGAAGCACCTATCCTGCGGAGTGAAGCCCAATACGCCGATTCTCGACGGGGATTTCCCGCATGAGGTCAAGCTGGAAGAATCTACTTGGGTAATTGAGGACGGGAAAGTGTTGTTGATTAATCTGGAAAAGGTGAGTCGTGGGCATACACACACACACCAGACATAGCCCGTGCTCGCACGTCGGTAATACACTTTTTCACGGCCTCGCCGGTCTTCGGCCTTGCCGGTACAGTGTCGGAATCACTATTCCGACGGTTCTAAAATCGTCCAGTCGCAGATGGAGATTCAAGATACGCGCGACCAATCGGCAAGAAATCGGGTTGACCATGTCCTTGCAAATACAGCGTTTATAAGTTCCAATTAATTTGTCCATGTCTGATTATCGTAAAACAATTTGTTCAGGAAATTACACCGATGTATGTATGATAAGTAATCTATAAAAGATGCAAAATATCGCATTCAGAATCTGCGAGAGCCAGATATTATTAACGTCAAATTATGTATGTATTAATTAATCCTACTAAATTTATGGCGAAATGATAAATAACATAATATATAAATTGCGATATTTTTCTTACAACCGACTATTAAAACGAACGTTTTATAGGTGAATAAGATGCAATGGTGGGCGCATGTAATAACAAGCGAACCAGAAATCAGCACGAAGAAAGTGAACCCCGAACCTAGTAAACTCTCTGACCTTGATGGAGAGACAAGAGGCCTCGTGGAGAAGATGATGTATGATCAGAGACAGAAGGAACTAGGACTTCCAACATCTGACGAGCAGAAGAAACAGGACGTCATCAAAAAGTAGAAACATTTCATTAATAATTTTATAATTGTTTGTTATATGCTGATATTGACGTTTCTAGTAATCTATCGTATTTTTTTAGGTTCATGCAACAACATCCCGAAATGGACTTTTCCAAGTGTAAATTTAATTAATTCGTCTCACAAATAAATACAATGAACTTAATGAAACGCTAACACGCTTAATAATATTACGATATCACATTAATTACATCTATTAAACTACATCTCAATCATTACCACAATACAGTGTGCGATCTTTTGCATCCGGTGTTTATAAATAAAAGTCGATAAATTACGAAATATTTCAAAGGTTGCAGAAGATGGCAGTACTGTATTAGATTAAAGTATAGAATCAGATCTCTACCATGGATGAAAATGTTGTTTTTACACTTGGATAATTTTTATATTTTTCTTATTTGCAAGTAAAAACAGAAACGCACAATTGCAAATATTTAATTTCTATATAGCGTTTCAAGTATAAAAGAATGAATTACAATTTATAAAAATAATCGAAAAATAAACATTGTATAAGTCTCTCTAATGCGATTTCTTAAATTTCCAACTATATCAATTAATATATAATCATTGATAGACGTATAGTTCAAAGATAAGTAAGAAAAAATATAAACGCAATCAACTGCGTTACGTTTTATAAAAATTACACTTTATTTCCTATATAAAACGGTACAAACGTGTTTCTAAGGAAAGTGAAGAATGTGTAATATAATAGCAAATTATAACATAATTAGCTTTATACTTGGTGTTTTAAATGCGTAGATTTGTACATATTTTTCGTTCTACTGATGTATGACCAATTGGGATACATCTTAAAACTCTTATATTCTGATTGTCTGTCATATTTTTCATTGTTTCAGAAAATCTTTCTTTAAAAACGCGTCGGCTACAACGCGTTATTTATGCGTTAATTATAATTATTATAATGCACAAAAAGCGTATTTTCTAAGTGTATTCATCTGCCTTCTTCATTACTTTTGTAATCCAGCGTACGTAATTAGATAGTCTGGCGTATATACCAAACTTGCCGCGTTTGCCGCAACCTTCACCAAAACTAGTGATACCAAAAATTGTCCACGGGTGCTCGGGTTTCCGCCAATCTCTGCAAAGCAAAGGTCCCCCGCTGTCACCTGCGCACGAATCCATTTTTCCGCGAGCATAGCCGGCACAGAACATGTTGTCCGTAATTCTATAATCTACATAGACCTTTCGACAGCTTTCAGTAGACACTATTGGAACCTAAATCAAATTTAATGTTTATGTTATTTTTTTAAATTGTGATTGCATATATCATTAAATTATCCTTTTTTGCGATATCGAGCAATTGACATTACATACTTTGACTTCGTGTAACACGTCCGTTCCAAAACTGTCCGTCACGCTAGACTTGCCCCAGCCGATAATAGTGCAGTGCTGGTTTGTGGGTAAGGGTTGCTTTGGCGCGGGCAGACACGCAATTCCTCTTGAAGCAGACGGGGTCAGGGTAACTGGTAAACGGAGTAGAGCCACGTCGTTATCAACAGTATCGACATCATATTCCGGATGGATAATTACGGAATCCACCTATGTGAATTAGTTAACAAATTAGTTAGAATTATTTAACAAAGCATAAGATTATCTTTTAATCACGACGACACGTACCCTGAGCTCTAATTCCGTGCCTTCTTTCACCGTTAAATCGTGTTCTCCAATTCGAACGTACAGACGTTTTCTGATACAGTGCGCGGCAGTTAGCACCCACCTTGGGGAAACTAACGTTCCACCGCAAAAAGCCTCCTGGAAAAGAAAAGGCATTGAGTAAGCCGCTAACTAGATATTCCTAACATTTGTAATTTTACATTTTTCTTCATTTTGCCTCTTTTGCGTTATTCCATCTGTTTGGTAAAAATATGAAGCATATGTTATCTCGAACATACCCGATGTCGATTCAGTACAGCCACTTGCCATGGCCAGCTTCCAGGTGTGGTCGGACGACCGCCAATGATTCGCATGAAATATGACAACCGGGAACCCTTGTGAGCGTTCGCCACTCCGCATTTCCAAGCGTTCGAGCTCTTTTCCGAAGCGAAACTGTCCACAGTGTTAGGATTCAATTCAAACTCATCCAACACAAAATCTAGAAAATCGTTAAAATTAATTAGTCACGTTTTCATCACGCAATGCCCAACGTTGCATGAGGTATTTACCATCGCCGTCATCTTCGTGGCTACCACGAATCTTCCGATGAATCCATCTTTGGCAGAAGCTACCTTCGACGTAGCAGTAGGCGCTCTCTCGTATCACATCGCGTCCGCATATTCCGGGTTTTTTGCACCATCTAATCGAAACGAATGTGTTAATAAATAACGTTAATTATCTAATTATTTAATCAACAAAAATTTCTTTTCGGATAATTTTTAGATAATTCTTCCGTTATTCATTATCTGTTTAATAAAAATATGAAATCTACAATCATACTTGATGTCAATTTAACACAGAATTCTATGAATACCTGTGACGTTCCGTAGTGCACAGTCTCGTACAAGGCGACCATTTACTCCATTTTCCATAGTGTCCTTTGGAGTGTTCTTTGTTATCCTTGCCCTTTCGCTTCCCTTGTCTGCGGTCTGCTTCTTTAGATACCTGTTGAGATCGCGTACGCGTTATTTGAAGATCGTACATTATTGTATAGCGTGACTCACCTGAACCACGTGAAATTTCTTGTTCCTTTGTCGGTGTCTCCGACGTTGCTGATGCTTGCATCGTCTTCGACGACCTTCTCTGTTATGCTCGCAACCGCGTTCCTCCTATATCACAAGAAGTCATTAATCGAGAATCATTTGCGATGTCACATATAATAATTATTATGTAATGCATATATATATTTACCCGAAGTACAGTGGTTCCGCAATCCGTTTTCGATCGGCATCTCCTGACGCGGTTTTGCGTACAGTGCCGATCGCACACCGACCACTCGCTCCAATTTGTGAAATGCGACAATTTCGTCGTTTCTGTAAAAATAAATCGGGGATATTGAAAAAATATTTTTAACTGAAAAGTGGAAATTTCTGTATAGAAAGATGTACAGCACACTTACGATTCTTTGGTAAGTGATCCGCGGCAGACGGTTCATCGACCGAATGGAGGTAGTCTATATGGCCGCTAACTTCAATGGCGAGTGTCTTATTCTCATTCTGCAAATAATTTTTAAACATATTTAACGATGGAATATTGCAGTAAATTTATGATTATTGGATTTTACTCTTATAATATGATTACGATCACTTTGAGAGAGATAATCGCTGTTCAAAGTAATTATATATTATTATATGCGATCTATGACATTTAGTAAATCTTATAACAGTTATTGAACCTTCTAGTGAATCAATCCATTATGATTACTTCACGTTTTGGCCTTGGCCAAAATCTCAGCGAAAACTTCATATCGTAATAACCCGCTACTTAGCACTTCTGCGCGTCGGCGAATGCTATTACGATTGCCTTAAAATGGTCTAAAACTGTCTGTCCTAGACCGAAAGACTTAATGGACACGGACCGACCAGTACGCGGTCGATTTTAACATCATTTAGTGTGCTCCAAGGCTGTAACGCCTAAGTCGCGACATTAAACTCAATTTGTCCGCTGGTAATAGCATCGCGACGTAACCGCCATCGGCGCTAATCATGCGTTACGCGATGTCACCGTGTCGACAGAGTATGTAGGCATATAAAATTATTCTCGTACTGTCGTCACGCCTTTTCGATGCTCCTCGAAACATTCACTCGCTCTGAAGCGGATCTGAATAGATAATTATCGTTTGCAGCTGCGATAATTTATTACGATTCACGCAGATTCAGGCACGGCCAAATTGGCACTCGGAACGCCTTTTTAGCGGTTCATTTGCGGTATAGAGTTAATAATGACGCCAAACTCAATTACTTAATCGAGGTTGATTACCTCGGAGAAATCTAATGTCGAATGCATAATGAAAGGAAATACATCTCGTCGATGCATATCGCATAATTTGAAGCTTATATAACGTAAACTTTCTTGGAATTACAGAAGGCATATAACAAACATAATAAATCTAGAATTAAATGAATAGATTTGTAGAAATTAAAATTTTTTGCTATACGATAAATGCTAATAGAATTTGAAAAAAAAATAACTAGCATTACTTTAAATGTAAAATACGAGTGTGCAAACATAATGTCAATTCTTTTATAAATCTAGAAACAAATTGGATACTAAGTGAAAAAAGTATTTTAATAGATTTTATATAATAACGAATTATAATAATCTATAAATTTCTGGATAATTTCCTATAAATTTTCTTTAATGGCATACATAATTGTGATTGAGTATTCATTTTCAACGTGAGAACATTGTGATTATCAACACTCACTTTTTAAAAGCGAGATAAGAATAAAATCGCTGCAATTTGCTGCACGAAACTTTATGAATGCACGAGAACAGGTTTCCGGTCGACTTCTTTTTCGATCCGTGCTCTAACCAGCGCGCTCTGTAATTAGCTTCGCAATTAGCCAAAATATGCAAGCGAATCTGCAGATTGCGATCGTGAATGATTTTCAGCAGGTGAAATCTCAGAATATCTTGAGAACGTTGTGTCGATCACTGATTACCGAACCGCTTACATATATTACGAGGCACGCCCACGATTTCTCGTTGAATTATCAGAAGATATTAATAAAATTAAACGCGAACCGGATTTGTCTTGATATCAAGAATATTTAATTAGTACGCGATACAAGGTGACATCTCTCTTGATGTGGAAACATTCCCAAATATATGTATATAAGAATAATGTTGCTTTTGATATTTCGAAATAACGAAATTGTTTGATAAATTAGACAGATAGACGATGATGATTCATTAATGCGATCATTGAAAGAAAAAATGCAAAATAAAAAAAGAACACTAAATAATGGAAGAAATGATCTTGAAAGAATAATCATGAGGCAAGAGAAATTTGTATGCAGCAAAGTTAGCGTGTCCAAACTAGGCTGAGACACGCGGTACCTTGCATCTCAGTGACGATCCCGCAAAAAGTTCGTGCCGTTAAAAGGGAAGGCAATTCCGCGGGGTAAAGTCGAAGAGCATGTTGTCTTGTTGCCGCGCAACTTCGTCGTTTGAAAACTCTGTACGGAATCTACACAAGAACGTACGGCGAATGTCAAGGGATCTCGGTCCATGTCCGAGGAAGAAAAACGACTTCACTAAGCAATCCGTGCGAAGTTTAATACGTCAAACGAGCGCTCTCTTCAATCTTCTTCAACATTTTCTTTCAATACTTCTTGCAGTTCGATGACTTTTGCTTTTTATTTCGACTAGTAACATTTCCACGTTTTTATCTAGTCTTTTTTTATTTTATATTTTTTTCACAAAAGATTAATTTCCACAAAAGATTTGTTTTAGAGCTATTTTTATGAAATAAACAAGTATAATCTGAATATCTGACTCGAAGAATGTCGTTGTTAAAAATTAATAAATTATACAGTGCGTTGATTATGCGCTCGGAGTATGTAATTCACTGTTTGACCTAATCTGGATCGCGAATGCACAAAAGAACGCGATGCAGGCACGGTTGTCAACAAAGAAAGGTTCGGAAGCCGCCTTTCGAGCTAACGCCTGAGCTATACCTTAGATGGTATCGTGGCTGGTCTGCCTACCGTGTCCACGCATATTTTAATATTACGAGATTGACGCATTGGTACCACGTATACTTTCATCAACAGAGCCTCACGCATTACGCCTCCTACAGTTTCTTGGAGGTCTTGAATATGTTTTCACTTAGAGAACAATTTATGCTCCTACATATTGAAATTTTAATTTAATTATTATTAAGCGATTGATGACAGTCGCAAATCAGCTATGTAAAAATTACAATATCAAAAAATTAAAAATTTTATTACATTTTCAATCAGCAGCATTAATTTCTAAAATTTCTTGTGATAATTTGTAAACTATATGGATAAAAACTTCCACACGCAATTTTGCATGGACTACGAAACAAGGCTCGGAAAGAATGACATTCGTTTCGCGAGTTTCGCCTCCCTAAATGGTAACGTCGTCGGAGTTCGCCTCAATGTCCGAAAATGGTTGACGATTTCTTCGATGAAGGGTTGCTACGGATTTAATGTAGGATCTCGCGCTTCCAATTGTCGTCTCGCCATGTTGTCAACGGAATGTTCGCTATAGTAAGTTCGTGGTCTAATATATACAATGGCAATTTTTTACAATCAAAGGATAATAGAAGATTTGAATTTTAACGAGATTATTGATGATCCTACTTTAAATCTTGATGAAAAATTTAATAAAAAAGAAATTAGCTAAAGAAATTAGACGACACGTTAAAATTATACGTCAAGAATACGCGCGCGTTTCTTACGATGATAAATTAATATTTTATTGACGTAAGCGTGACGTAATTTGAGTATTATACCACATGCTATAATTCGTCCATTTATTCTCGAGAGAAATTATGGCTTCATTGCTAGTTTGATGCAGCCATTTGATTCGGACCGTCTTATAGAGAGACATAATCGCAAGAGTATACTTGCATATACAACGGAATGATCATTACGATATTATCGCAATGGTTACATGAATAATGTTAAATTCATAACGCTCACAAGATCACAACTTACAATCGCGATAGCGTTTATTCTTTCCTGCCAAGAATCGATTGAAGCAATAGACATAAGCATCATAAAGTACAATAACGCCGTACAGTTACATCAACGGCTGTTAAGAACAATTCATACCCTTTGAAACGCAACTCGTTTGGCAACGCTCGCCCGTAGCAACGCGACATTATTCCTCTTTTTGCGCTACTTCTTACTTTATATAAGCGATTCGATGCCCTTTCAAGTCAAGGTTTACGAGAGCCCATAAATACTGTTCCGTTTTAATTAGATTTTTAATAGCGGCAATAAACGCGCGCGGTCTGCCTTGAAAAATAGCCTATTCTGCGAACGACATTGTCAACGACGAAAGTGACTTCCTTATGGACAAATCTCTGCGCGAACTGTTTCGATTCCCAGCTGACGCGATGAAACTAAACGTCGGCGTTAAATTATATTTCGCACTCGCCACAGCTTGCTCTTTACTTCTTCCGATTCCCTTGCGGTAATATTATATATCTAATATGTCACACGTTACATAACGTCTCAGTCGTCTTTCGCACGAGTGAGAGCGTGCAGAATTTATTGCTAGCCGCAATAGTTTTTTATTTGTTTATTACGTAATTCTTTCCGCAGACATCTCTCGTAATTTTAAGATGAAGTTATCGTGAAACATTTTATTGTCAAAAAATTATTCTTTAAATGTGCAATTTGTAAGAAGATCGTTGCAAATTCCACCATATTTTTGTCAAATTATCATGAAATTTCGCTTAAACGGATGTCACAGCAGATAACATTCACGTCGAGAATTATTGTCGCAAGAAACTAAACATCAATATCCGCTTGGAGAATCGCATCCTGTGGAAATTATTTACGGTCGTATAAACTTCATTCTTCTTATTTATGTTTCCTGCTTAATTATGCGTGTGAGATTAATTTGCAGAGGCATATCGAAAATTGACTATACTATTTTGCATCTTATTTTCTGCCTCTAATAACCTTAAATTTCAAAGAATATTGTCCTCAATGCAATTTTCTTGGCCGGATTTAATTATGAGTATCGATTTCCAATACGCATCATAAGTACCTCTGTATGTTGCGCATACAAATTACACTGGAAATATGTGAAATAATAATAATTAGATGAATTTCGAAAATAAATCGTCTAATTTTCCGCGAATTAAATGCAATTAAGAGTGTCGGGAGTCAGTTTTCGAAATCCACGGTAAAAGTCATATTCATAAGGTCTTAATTTACGCGTCGGCGTCTCAAGTGGAAACACAGACCGTAAAACTGACCATTAAGATTGTTTGAGGGCTAAAGAGAGTCACCTGCAGCGCTTTAACTGTCGCTATCCATCCGTCCTGCTCGTTGTTTCTTCTTTCCCTTCGTGCATTCTTCCATGCATAAGCGGCCGGGCTCGCATTTATAGCCGCGGTTATTTCCGGATCAGCGTCTCCAACACCATACGCCACCGCTTTACTAGGACTGTGTAACTCCTTATTGTTTCTCGACACCGGCATTTGCTCGCATGAAAGACTGCGCGAGAG